GAATTTTATTTTTTTTTTGTGCAGTTAGTCTGTACGAACTGACTTCAGTACGGACGAACAGTAAAAATTTCTTCAGTTAGTCTGTATGAATTTCCTGTACGAACTGAGTAAATTGCAGGTTCGTCCGTATGAACCTGAGTTCGTCCAGGATGAACAGAACAAAATTTTCGCCAGAGAGCATCGTCCAGGGACGAAGATCCATTATCGTTTGTATGATTTGTGTACAGAGGAGATCATCCTGGGACGAACGAGAAACATCGTCTGGACGATCGAGTTCATTAAATAGATGATTTGAGATATTTTTGAGATATTTTGAAGAGAGAAAAAGCTGGAGAGAGAAATAGAATAAGAAAGCTTGGTTTCGGAGACCGCAGAGTGATTTTCGTCCGTCGACACAGTTGAAAGAATTATTTTACTCATAGTAAGGAATCTGAATCCTATTTTTGATTTCGAAGATTTTGTATTTTGTTATTTTTGCTCAGTTTTGTAATTCCGCTACCGAAAAGCATGCATAACTTTGTATTGATGAAACTTTCACCGCGTAACTTTTGATATATTTTTGAGATAATGATTTTACATGTTTTGAATATTTTCTGGAGATATTTTACTGGGTATTTTGAATTCTGTGAGATTTTTATCGAATAGAAAATTATTAGGATGTTGAAAAATATTGCTTCAGTACAAGTAAAGTTTTGAAATATTATTTTACACGATTTCTAGTAATTTGGTAATTTTTTAAAATTGTGCATTTTATAATGACTTCTGTCTACTATACGATATTTTAAGGAGTTTTCTAAATTGAGCTAAATCATATTTTACGGTTATAATGTATTGATGGGATGCTGATGAATGTAGTTATATGATTGAAATTATTATTATATTACTGTGATACTACTGTATATGTGAAAGACTGGTTGAACCGTTGGTTGGAGACTGATTGACCTGTATAGGATGGTGGGCCGATGGATTTTCCTTTAAATACGGTTTGGTGTTATCCTCTACTGATCACGTGATTACTGATGGGAGTTATAAGGAGATGGTTACTGTGCTAACGGGCAAAGAGTGACGACTCTTTTTACTAAGCCAACAGATCGAATACAAGATATAAGATACTGATACAAGACTGAAAAACACCTTAATAGCCAGTTCTTCTACTTGCTCTGTATGACTAATGTATTGAATTGCATGTTTAGCAGTATTGTTACTGCTACTATAGGGATTTACTGATACTGATGCATTTACAAATACTGAACGAATGTAACGTTATTGTACGATTTTATTGATATTATATGGATTTACCTTTATTATATGATTTCATGATTATAACATTACTGTTCATGTCACTGAATTGTTACTGATACTGATACAGGCATTGATACTACTGATTCACTATACTGACATTATGCATGTGATATGCTGAGCAAGTGGCATGTGATTCACTGAACACGTGATATAGATTACTGGATTGCATGTGATTCACTGAGCACATGATATTGAATAACTGGAATTGCAAGTATACATTTTGATATGGTTTTACTGCAATTGTTTAATTTCAACAATCACGAACGATAGTATTTATTTGACGTTTTATGCCGACTGATATTATTGAATCGATGAATTCTCTTTATATAATTAATAGTATTGATACGATGATTTATTGACTGATTTGATTGGTATTACTGATACGAAGAATTTTTTAATGATTTGACTAAGATTTTAGATATGATGATTTGTCTATTGAATTAACTGATGTTATAGACACGATGACTACTGTAGAGATTTGACGCATATACTGATTCATTGAGCTTTACGGACTTTTATACTATCTACTAATTCTTCTACGGTAGATTGATGATTTTACTGTTTCTGTATTGATACTGTTTACGCATTGACTACCGTTTATGTCATGATTACTGTTTATACACTGATTACTATTTAAGCATTGATTTTTGATTCTGCATTGATTCAATGATCATGTGTAAGTGACTACAATGATTTGATTGATTGTCATGCATATTACTTTTGTATTGTGCTTTGATTTCAGTTGTAGGTATTTGAAGATCTGTTGGGCTTTTTAAGCTCATTATATGTGATTAATAATTTCAGGTCAGGACAAGGGAGCGGGAGTTTGAGGTTGATAAGGAATCTTCATGTTTTTGTTCCTTTTTATTATAGTTATTCTTTTGTACTCATGACTGGATGGATTTGTGATCATTGTTGAAGATCCTGAGTATTATAAATAACTTTTGTAAAATAAATATAATATTTACTTGATGTTTTAAATTATAAATTTTTGTTAGACTGTTTAATACTGATTGATGACTATATATAGATAGTTCTGGTAGAAGATTGATTTAAAGGATTGACTGAATAATTCTTCCAAATTAGATCTTGGGGTGTGATAGATGCTGAGGTGGATGAGTGAATTTACTCTTAGAGATAAGATGCAAAATGAGCACATACGTGAAAAGGTTGGAGTAGCTCTAGTAGAAGATAAGATTAGAGAGAGTCATCTTAGATGATTTAGTCACATTAAATGGAGACCTTCTGATGACCCGAATAGAAAAGTTGAGGTCTTAGATTTGACTTATGTTAAGAAAGATAAAGATAGACCTAAAAAGAGTTGGTTATAAAATATTAGAAATGAACTTTCTCTATTAGTTTTGAATGAGAATTTGACTTTTAACATGACACAATGACGAAAAAGGATTCATGTAGCCGACCCCACGTGTGGGACAAAGGCTTAATGTTGTTGTTGTTGTTAATAGAATTAGATATGTACATGACATTTGATAATTGATATTATTATGATATATATGATTTGGCATGTGTGTGAAAGAAAGAGACTGACTAAAAATAATTGACAAATTCCTAGTTTGTCTGAATTGACAACATGATATGATTGATGAGATTGATTCTTATTTACGACTAATATGATTGATGAGATTGATTCTTATTTATATAACTAATATAATTAATGATATGTATTCTTATTTGTAGGACTAAAATAATCTATGAGATTGATTCAAGTTTGTTGGACTAGTATGATTGATGAGACTAGTTCTTTGTGACTAATGAGATTGATTTCTATTAGGTTGACCACATGACTAATATGATTGACACATGATATAAGATACAAATAAAAGATATGTGATACAATATGCATGTATTAAATGCATGGTATAGATACATGTATAAAATGCATGATGTATATATATATATATATATATATGATTCGTTTGCACCAACATGACATAATATCCATAGAAATATTCACATTGACATATATATGAAAGGGCATAGAACATTGAGATAAGTATGCATTGATAATTGATAGAACATTGATATTTTTTATATTGATCCTCTGTACGATTATTGATCAATGGTTATTGAGTTACACTGGTTACATATATGCAAATTGACATTGCTCATATTGTTTGTCACAAATTCTTATTGTTACATGTTTATACTAATGTGATTTGAATGGATAAGAACATATTATTTCTACTTCCAAGCATTGATTATTTTTATAATTTTACAATCTATTGGTTTTTGCTCATTACATGATTTTTTTACATTTCAGGGAAGTTTACGGAGCTTGGAATGAGGCTGATTTTGTTGATAGTCTAGATATTGTTAATCTTATTATTGTATTTTTTTATAGTCATGATTGCTTGGGACTAGTAAGTGGAATGAAATGTTTGTTATATATCGGGAACTTGACTAATGTATCAATATTAATAAGAAATAAACTGTCCACTGATCTATTTTAATATGGATGTCAATTAGTGGATCTGATAAATGACAAGAAGGTTTTAAATAGGCAATTATTTAAAATTAGATGTTGGGTGTGACAGTAAACCCCTTTATTTACTTTGAATGTGATGGAATGGGCTAAAACCCTTTTGAATAGATGTTTTCCTATAACTTAGATGTCAAACATGGTTAGCAATGCTCAATCACGGATCGTGGCCAGTTCTTATTGGAGAGCAAGTGATTGGGTGGGTAGTCCATGAGATCCTTCATTGTTCTTGTAAGGGACAATTCCCCTCTGGGTGTCCTATTCAATTAGGTTTCAAATAACATCAACGCATTCTCCTTATGGATCCATGAAGTATGAGTTCAGCTATTAGGACATCCCCAATGTCTATTAAATACTTGAAGTCATGAAAAGACTATGTGAATGTACCTTTAAAATAAGATAACAAGTATCCCATCAAAGGATTTCAAAGTTTGAAATCTTTGAATCAAATTATTTTTCTTTTAATAAATATTAAATTTAAAATAAAAAATAGAGCCAAAATTTAGTGATCACTCAAGATGTGTTGAAACAATTAAATTATTTTAATTTTTTAAAATAGTTGTATTAAAATTTAAAGAGATCATGATTTTAATAATCTTGTTGTTTCTTTTTCTTATTATTGAAAATTTTTTATCTAAAAAGAATAGCATAAACTCTTTATATAAATTTATAAATTTATAATCAATTCAAATAATTGAAAATTTTATTTTAAAAAAAAAACCCCCTAAATGAAAAATAATAAGATGATTACAAAGATATATTTCATGATGCTCGAAGATACATTTTCCTGGCCCTTGCATACCGTTCATCGAGTGTTCTAATAAGCTGGCAGCCTTAACTCATGTGAACAACATCAGCTTTATAGCAGGTACAGCTAATGGTAAATACAGGGGGACGTTATCAAATTCTTCTGGTACCACACATGGTTCTGCTTCCCTTTTAAGTTTGCTAGCCCATATATTTTTTATCTATTTTGTCTTATTTAAATCGATATCCATCGAGTGTACTGCTCATCTACCTTGCTTCTGAAGCAACCTTTGGATTCACCCTCACCCTTCTCTCTCTCTCTCTCTCTCTCTCTCTCTCTCTCTCTCTCATATGCTTAAGAAGCAACCTCTGGATTCACCCTCATCCCTCTCTCTCTCTATTTGCAGAGCAAAAGAGTCATCATTTACACAATTTTAGAATCTATGTGAGCTCTTGCCACACCCTCACACCTCTCCCTTCTCTCTCTTTCTCTTTTTGGGTTTGGTTTTCATTATGCAGTGGCAAGATTAATAGGAGATCATTGATGTTTCATCGTGGATCTGATGCAAGAAGGAAGGACCGAATCACACTGCTACTCTCTCTCTCTCTCTCTCTCTCTATATATATATATATATATATATATATATATATGAAAGTGCTGGCATGATATGCTATTTTGATAGAAATTCTATTATCACATTTCCTTCTGTCTTTCTGAACAATCAGCTTAGAGTAATTTGTGTTTTAATACTTTTATTTAACAAAACTGTATATTAGCTATATAGATCTATAAAAATAAAAAATATTCCATAAAACAGATAAATATTGATGAAATCTAAGGAAAATGAGATGCTTGAATCAGTTTGTCCGAACAAGATAGTAAGGCATATATGATAACTTTAGCGAGTATTAAAGAATAAATTTCTGATGTGTGAGATTCTAATAGAATTATGGATAAGAAAATAAAATAGCGAACCATGCACCTTAATTACGATTCATCTTCTCTCTTCTTCCTCTCCCTCTCTACCATTTAAGACTTTTACTGTACTTTAATAGTTTGTTTTGATAGCAGTACACTAAGTTTGTGCTATTGCAACAGTCTAATAGTTCACAGCCATTGGACCGTTTAATTTTTTTGTCTCTTCATCTATCTTTTGTGCTCAAAACCCTAAAGATAGAGCTGAAGACCCTCCCGGCCTCCCTCTCTCTCTCTCTCTCTCTCTCTTATGTGTTTGAAGGTGCAGTGTTTTTATACCCTTTTCTTTTTCCTTATGATATTAAATTAAAGTTGGTAGATTTCTAAGAATTTAATATTTTAAATGTTTCTACTTTCAGCTTAATATGATGCCCAAGTTCACTTTTCTTTTCTCTTCCATATATATAATTCTTTCCAATTATAGCAAGTTTCTTCTCTCCCTTTCCCCTTGATCCATCCCCTCCTCCTCAGTCAGTAACAAGCTAGAGATTTTGCAGGGTTTTTTTATACTATTTTAATTGTAAAACCTCTGTAAATGTTATTGCCTTCAAGAGATTTTTGCATCCATTGCTTATTTTGATCTGGGCTTCATTAATTCTTCCATTTCCCATTATTTGCTTTCAACTTTTCATTATTTTGATTTGTTCCAACTAAAAACTTCATAGAATTTTTTCTCTTATGTAAGAAAAAACTTATTTTTGTTCATTTTATATTAAGATCTCCATTTTTTTAATACAGATTTCCGTTAATGATAGAGACGCATGAACAAAAATTCAATATATAAATAAATAATGATTATTACTTGCTTGATTTATGTTCAAACTGCCATGAATCTTGACAGAAACTGAAGAGAAACTGAGATAATATTCTTCAAGAAGATTCAGTAAATTAAGGAGGAAACAAGAGCTTCAACCGCATGAGTAGAGACAATGAGAAGAAGCCACATAGTTTCTTCAAGCAGCTCAGCCAACCTCATTGATGCCAAGCTAGAAGAGCATCAGATGAGAGGATCTAAACAGTGCCCGAATTGCGGCCACCAGATCGAAAACAAACCAGTAGGAATATATTTCCAGAGAATCTGATACTCCTTGAAAAATACAGATATCAAATATCTTTATGGTATATCAAATTAATATATCTTTGTAATATTATTAGGATTGGTTTGGGCTACCTGCTGGAGTTAAATTTGATCCCACAGATCAAGAGCTCATTGAGCACCTGGAAGGAAAGGTTTCTATTGAAGGATTGATCAGATCGCATCCTCTTATAGATGAGTTCATACCAACTATTGAAGGAGAAGATGGCATCTGCTACACACATCCTGAGAAGCTTCCAGGTTAATTTTTTTTAGTATAATTGTTATATATTTTATGTTTTTTTTTTTTTTTTTGGACCATAGATTTGTGCAGAGATAATCTGAAAAAGTTATTTCAGATTGGAATAAATTCCATTCCTTTTCGAAAAGAAGATGATGAAGGCTAAAGATGCTTAATGAGCTAACATCTGCAACTGTTTTATTTGGTGATATTTTTTATACAATTACTAATTTCTTGAATGATATTTTGATTTAATTTCTTACTATCTAAATCTTAGATTAAATAACAATCAAAACAATTAAAAATATTTATGTAATGATTAAAATTATTTTAAAAATTCTTTATTTTCTTTGAGATTTCTGCTAGTTTTTATATTACGTTCTTCTTAGAATAAATTCAGAAGTTCTGAAACTCCTCGCATTCAACGGCTCAATTTTTTTTTTCAAATAGGTAAAAAAAAACGGCTCAATTTTTTTTTTCTAAAAGCTTCAAAACCGTCATTGACTAATAAAAATTATGTTCAATAGATCATATTTGATAGAATATTTATATTTAATTCTGAAAAATGCATTGTTTTCATCAATATAATTTTTTTAATTCTGTCAGAATTTCTAACAGAAATGAATTAACTTTTCTAATATTACTGGATTCATATTTTTTTCTCTCTCAATTCAGGTGTGACAAGAGATGGATTGAGCAAGCACTTCTTCCACCGGCCGTCGAAGGCATACACGACGGGGACGAGAAAGAGGAGGAAGATCCAGCCTGAGACCGATATCCGGCGAGGCGAGACACGGTGGCACAAAACGGGGAAGACGAGGGCGGTGATGGCAAACGGAAAGCAGAAAGGATGTAAGAAGATACTGGTGCTTTACACCAACTTCGGCAAGCACCGGAAGCCGGAGAAGACAAATTGGGTAATGCACCAGTATCATCTGGGGGAGATGGAAGAGGAGAAAGAGGGGGAGCTTGTGGTATCTAAGATATTCTATCAGACACAACCAAGACAATGTGGGGCAGTTGGTGGAGGAGAGGGAATTGGGATTGGTAACTGTTCTTCATCAAAGCTTGTGGTTGATGCAGGCACGGCTGCAGTATATAGTGGTATAGAGCAATTACAGCTGCAGCAGATGCGTCAGAATGATGATTTGAGCTTTGGTACTTTTAGGAAGAGCTTCGATGAGGTGAGAAGCAATTCTTATTAATTTTATGAAAGAAAAAAAATTCTACTCAGATTTCTTTCATTAAATTTTAATTAAATTGATTTATTTTGAAATACTTAGCTAGATGCTACCTAGAGAGAGTAAGTTTTATAGTTTTTGTTTCAATTAAACTAGAAATTTGTTAATTTTATTTTTATAGAAATATAAAGAAAATTATAGCTGAGAAGGTCAATTTTTTCGAAGTAAAATAATTTTCGGATAAAATTGATCTGGTCTAAAAATTGAGAAATTATTTTGGACAGAGTCTAGAGATTATGAGTGTACTTACAATGTGTACACTTATTTGATATACACTATGCACACATTGTGTACACTCACATGTCCAGACAGTTATTCCCATCCTGACTCCTCACAGAATAATTTCTCCTAAAAATGACAGATGTTAAACAAAGAATTTTTAGGATCTCCTTGTATTTTATAATATGGCTGATATATTCGTCTTGTCAATTTTCAGATATTTCATAATGCTCTTTTCATTAATGTTCTGAAAAATGATCGGACATCAAACCAAAAGAATTAGAAATTTAAGGTTCAATGATTCAATTGGTGTTAAACCGGATAATGTAATAAATATTAAAATTATTTTAAGTTAATGACATAATAATGAATTTTTTTTTAATCAAATAAATACCATTCTAACTAAGGATGCTCCACTATTAAATTTTTGGTATTTGATTCAAAATCAAAATTTTGGAAATGATATTTTTATTATTTATGAGACATTGATCAATTTCGAATAACAACAATATTTTACTTATAGTTCAAAACAAAAATCAGAGAAGGCTTAAACTTGCTAGAACTTCTAAGTTTTTTTATCATAAATATTTGATTAAAATCAAAAGACCAAAAATTGATTTGTATTTGAACCCACTGGATCATAAAAACTCGGATAGATTCACCGATTCTCCGGTTCAACCACAATTTATCACTAGTTCTAGCAACATGTCTTTGGTTACTAGTATATACGTAGAAATAATTTTTGAGCTGGATTAAATCATTCAGACCGATTCACAGTTGAACCGATTGGAACAGTCAGTTCGAGTCGTTTGATCTAATTTTTAATTAGTATCAATGTTTTGTTTTCTTAAAATTTTAACTTTATGTCAACATATAATTAATAGGAAAGTAACCGTATCACATTAAGCTGTCCTTGCAATTGCTTATTTTTCAATTAATTGTGTTGACATAACGAATAAATAAAGTAGATAAATGGAGAAAAATTGAAGGGGGATTATTTGTCACAATTAAATTCTTTTTACAAATTGAAATATTATGAAAAAAAAAAATCTGACATAAGCTGTACCCTTACGCATGAGGAAGCAATGCTTTCTTTAGTTAATAGTAATTTCAAAAAAATATCTTATTAAGAATGTGTTTGGAAGCTCAATTTTTTTATTATAACAAGTTTATGCTAGGTAGATCATACACTGAGAATTCGTTTGGGACAGCTTTTTAAATGCATCATAAAGTAATTTTATAGTACAAAATTTTTAATTTTTGAACTAAAAAATTGCTTTAAGAAACAATAAAAAAACCACCGGAAACAAGGCCTGAATTTATACACACAGCTGACATCAACTGCTTGCTCCTTATACTCCCTCTCTAATGTTTTCTTCTTACCTATGACTATATCTGTATAATGCTTTTTATAACATAGAAGCCTTCCAACTTGCAAAGCATTTAGTTAAGTAAATCTAAATTGATGATTTCTCCTCTCACTGGAGCTTAGAGATCAATAAGAAATGAACTTAAACTATGTACATTTTTATTCTCATGAACAGGTAGGCTTAGGAGAGAGAGCTGCAGACCATTCATCAGAAGCATCGATAAGCAGGCCTACTAACTCCATTTCAGGATTAATCTCTCCAGCTACAGTGCAACAGGCATCCATTGTTCTTGAAGATCCCTACCATGTCTCAAGGTTTCTCTTCCAGGCAGATAAGTTTCAGGTATATTATTTTTCTCATAAAATATATGTATGATCTCCTCTAATTAACTTTATAAGCTTATATGACACATGACATTAATCATCTCTATAAAGTATATGATTGATTAGTGTACTTATTCTGATATACTTAAATAATGCATGAGCACAGTTATTATAATTTTGAAGATAAAACAAGAAATTTAGGAGAAATCTATTAAAAAATATATAATAACATAAGATTGTAATGCTCCTCAGCAACTTCTTTTGATTATTGTCTTGTGTCTAACTAAAAAGATATATATACCTTTAATTGCTTTTATATAGGAGCTCTTGCTATATAAGTGTTTTAAAAAAAATTATAAGCTTTAGATAATATGGAAATGTACTTGATTATATCATTTTATTATATGTAATTAGATATGAACATGCACTACATGAAATTCACAGAATACCGGCAGAATATTTAGCGGTTTGATCGTTGCTATTAACCGGCGGTTAGACTGCCGGTAATAAAGAGTAAATCATCAGAAATTCCGGCACTCAAATTGCTTTTATATGTTGTAGCCGCCGGGAAAACAGCCGGAAAATATTACCGCTGGAAAGATACCGCCGGTAATTTCCATTTCCTACGCGGTTTATTCCGACGGTTTTGAAACCGCCGAAAAATTGAGATAAACCGTCGTAAATTGCTGTTGATAATGGATGATTTTCCTGTAGTGATGAGCATTAAATTCCAAGGCATGATGATTAGATGTCATCTTCACCTTCCTCTAACTTATGACTTGTAGTCTGGGACTTAACTTAAAATCTTTGTAAGTTTATTATTTTAATGTATGTAATAAGTGAAAGGTCCCTTGATATTTTATCCAGGATGAGTCTTCGATGGGATTTTTTTAAAAATAAACTATTTGTCCACTATGACTAAACAATTTCTTAAGCATATTTTCAATCTATAATAATGGTGCTGAAATGAATCTAATAATTATAAGAAATCATTTACTAACTTGTTTGGAATAATAATATCAACAGCAACAGCAGCATAAAATGGTGGGAAGACCTGCTGGTGCTGGCCTTGAAGAGTTGATAATGAGCTGCACATCAACTGATATAAAACCAGTAAGTCTGACTACCTTTTACCTTTCTCTTATTACTGCTGGTTGCAAGAATAAAATTTGTATAATATTCTCTCTTGCTTAATCTCATAGGTTTCTTGGGTGGGTTAGGGTTGTTATAACTACTTACTGTTGAACTCATAGAGTAGAGAAGATAGAATAGTGGTAACTGTGAAGAAAACATAAACAATAACTGCAAGAGACAAAAGAACAGTATAAGTACCATCTTTTTATAGAAAATTCTCGCCACCAAACCATTAATAAATTTCAAGTGGGACCATTAGTTGCTGACATAAGAGGATTAAACAGGCAAATAAAATATAAAAAGGTGAATTATTATTATTTTTTCATCTGATGTTGGTTCCTTTCTGCTTAGCATGCTAATTTACATGTTATATATTATGGCCTTGCTAAGTGTGTTGTCAGGAAGGAATTTTTTTTTGTAATTCTGAGAAAGCATCCTGTAAATTATAGAGTATTTAATCAAAATTCAGACTTTTTGTAAAAAATCAAAATAATATGAGTATTTTTTGTATAAAAAACATTTATTTATTGAAAGAACACCATAGAACATTACTTTAGAATATTTTAAATCTCAGTGCATAATATATTTCTGCGAGTTAGTTTTATGATAATTTTCGCATAAATTTGCAGGAGGAATTCCTCACAGGGTTTCAGTTCTGTGATAGGGTTTTAGAAAGAGTTAGGGCCGAGATAAAACAGAACCTTCCTTTCTTTCCTTTTAGAAACCTCAAAAAGAGCAAACACAGAAGCTTGTTATCATCTCGATGGTGTGTTTCTTCCTTTTCACTTGGTTTTCACATGGAACAACACAGAATTTGTTTTCAAAAAGATAAAGGAAAAGATAAAGCCAAAGATAAAGGGGGAAAAAGGAATACATTGTATTTGAATGCCTACGCATTTATCAGACAAGGATATAGCAGATAACTCTATATTCCTAGATTTGAACTCATCGTAGAACTTCACTGACTGGACCATACTAAGTGCGCATTCATGTAAAGAAAGAGATTTGCAACCTTTTTATTATATTTAGATTATCACAATCTAACTATCCTACTTAACATAAAATAGGTTGAGAAATTAATTTGTATGAAGAAAGAATTATAATGTGAAAAAAGAACAGAAAATGGATTTAACAGTACTTGAAGCAGCCTTATATAGGATTGAATTGCATGGAAAATTAGATCATCTATATATAAAAAATTTATCGATCTTTTTTTTCTTTATTGATTTTTTTTTTCTTACATTTTCGTTTATTTACTTATTGCATGTTTCAACAGGAAACATCAATTGCACATCCTCAAGAGACGGAATGGCTGAAGTACTCATATTGGTTACCTGACAGCCATGATCATCATGGATAATAACAAAGGAGAACTATGAAATAACACAGAAAACATGGAAAATATATGGTGATAAGTACTCACAAGGAAACTCTTCTCTTAAAGAGGAATCAATTGAGGAAAGTAAGGAAAATGGCCGCCTTCTCTCTCTCTCTCTCTCTCTCTCTCTCTCTCTCTCTCTCTCTCTCTCTCGAACAATGAGCTAAGGCTCAGCTGACGAAACTAACTATATAATAATTCAGGCTGGCATGAAACATAGTAAGGTTGTTATTAGGAAAGAAAGGAAAGCGAAGAAGGTACCAACAAATATCTCCAATTTTAGATCTTTGATGCAATACAGTCTCATGCACTTACACTTATCACATGATACAATTAGAGCCATGCATCAATCTTGAAGGTCATTACTCTCCATGATCATCGTCATTCACAAAATTCAAAGCCAAAAATTTTTTATTACGGATGGGAAAATTATTACGTGCAGCCTCCGGATTTGTTCGGAGGCGAATCTGGACCCGCCACGTCACCTGGGGTCCGGTGCATAAGAGTGATGTGGCACATTTAGATTCACCTTCGGACGGTCCGGACACTACACATAATAATCTCTCGGATGGCTGACCCTTCTTGATAGAATTGTAGCATGTGCTATAACCCAAGAATCACCCACTTTCCATACAAGCATGGTCGCTTCTTTCCACTTTGTTCAAGAAACATGTGATCAAAATCAATATCCAATCACTTTCCAAAAAAGTCTGGTCATCTACTTCAAGGAAGGAACATAGACATTACAGTAAAGTGGAGCCATTGTCCTTCCAGCTTAAATGGTTTATAGTTTAGGTTATTTTCCATATATTTTTTCTTGAAACTTTATGCATACAACAATTATGTAACTTGAAATATCGTTGAATGAAATATTAATTTGTTGAGTTGCTTTCATGCAATTATAATGATAGCTTGTGGCTTCCTCATTGTGCATGTTCTATTTGCTTCCGATCTTCATGTCTCCCTCCTTTCTATGCTCCACAACCAACCTAAAGGCTTCCTCTCCTCAAAGGCTAGTCAAAACCATCTAAACTCCATGTCCATTTGCCTTTCTTTATTTATCTAAAAACCCTCTTCCCCCTCTTGGCCAAACTAATAATGTCATGAAATCAAGCCTTCAACTCTTAAATCTTATACGAAAGGGCCTTGATTCAAGTGGTATATATATTTGTTTTTATCCTAATGGTCTCATGAACCAATATAAGAGGAGAAACTATAATAATTAATTTCTTCAAATCCAAAGTAGATATCATATGTGTAGTACCTTTCTCAATTTTTATATTTGTATATTCCCTTGAGCCTACCTTATGCCAGTACAAGTCTTAGATCCACCTAATGAAGTTATGGGACAATACTAACAAGCTCGCACCTCTCATATAACCCTCCAATCCAAAAATAAAAAAGGCTAGTCAAAACCATCTAAACTCCATGTCCATTTGCCTTTCTTTATTTATCTAAAAACCCTCTTCCCCCTCTTGGCCAAACTAATAATGTCATGAAATCAAGCCTTCAACTCTTAAATCTTATACGAAAGGGCCTTGATTCAAGTGGTATATATATTTGTTTTTATCCTAATGGTCTCATGAACCAATATAAGAGGAGAAACTATAATAATTAATTTCTTCAAAATCCAAAGTACATATCATATGTGTATCTAAGTACCTTTCTCAATTTTTATATTTGTGCATTCCCTTGAGCCTACTTTATGCCAGTACAAGTCTTAGATCCACCTAATGAAGTTATGGGACAATACTAACAAGCTTGCACCTCTCATATAACCCTCCAATCCAAAAAGAAAATATATTAACCTCAGGTAGCTTCAATCAATACCAATAGGGATCACCCATGCATCTCTTCAAACTCAAATTAGATCCTTCCTACTACATTATATCTTATATTTCTCCTCTTTTTACATTAAATTGTCTACCTCTTTATGGTAATCATGTTTGTCATCTACAATATTTGAGTTGAGCAATAGAATTAATGCACACCATAAGATTTTTAATATGCTTCATATGAATTAATTGCTAATTTAAATATCAAACCAAGTAGATTCTTAATAAATAAAATGATCCTAATGAGCTTTCAACTTATGTGGTTTATTAATTTGTGACATGATTTTGTTATTAAATGAGTTGTGTGCTGATGAAACTTGTGTGTAATGGTATGGCTTTATTTTTATTTTTATTCTTTTTTAGATTTTTTTATGTTAGTTATTTGATTTCTTGCCTTCTATTGAAGTCTTAAGAACTAATATTGGATGCTTTTTTTTTTATCTTTATTTGTAGTAGTTCTTGTTTATTTATTATATTGAAGGGAATAAGATTTATTGGGTTATGTTACTCCATGCTAATATGATATTTTTGGAGTCCTACAATTCTTTTGAGTGCTTCTACTACGTCTTCTTCACTTTGCTTGATGACATTGGCCCCCTTCTTCATCATAATTGGAAGATATCATCGGGCCCCATAATGACGATGTTTTTAGCTTGTTTGGTGTTCATTAAAGCATGATTTGATATTTCCATCATGATAGCTTCTTATGTTTTGATTATTATATAATAGTTTTTAAGTAGTTTAGCCTATCATTTTTTCTTTGCAACAATTATAATTTGCAGGTTCATTGTACTTGAGTTTTGAAATTTGGAAGACGTAAATTTTAACTTTTAGTGCTTTCTCCTAGATCTCTGCATGTGCATAAATAAATAGTATATAATATATATATTCAATTGAGCTTCGATATAATATCCGCTTCCCCTCCCCCCCCACCCGCCCTCCAAAAAAAAAGAAAACATATAGAATATAGAATTTTTTTTGGGAATGGTGAAAGCTAAATTATAAATTAATGAGGGATTTGGAAGAAGATATAATATATTAAGAACACTTCACAAGAACTTTCATTTTTCCCCAATCATAATGTATAATTAATAGTGTGATGTGAGCGAAATTTAGAAAGCTCCAATGAAGCATCATCATTATATATGGTCCAAGATTATAATAGTACTTAATAGGTTGTAATGATACTCAATTGAATTCTAATGAGTTCAAATATAATCACATAAAGAAGATAAGGCAAAAATATATTCAAATCTTTCTTATGCCCAGTCTCTAACTTGGACAAGTGATAACAAAATTTTCTTGGATTGAGGGTTGAGGGAGAACAATTTAAAATTTAAACATATCAACAAGAGGGATCACGATCAACATTAGAAAACTCAGCATCAATGGCTATGAAAGACACAAATGAATTGAATCATGCATTGATTAGTTTGAATTCTAATGTTAAATGACTTGTTAATGAATTTGGAGGTGGAAGTTTGGTTCTATGGGCATTGAACTTTTTCTGTATGTGATTAATATTTACTTGGAAAGAGGTTTAAGGTATCTTTATATGAAATTAGACTTGGGAGATGGTATTTATCTATAGTGATGGAGAGCCTTTAGGAATACTATTTTTGGCAGCTAACGTGGGTACTTTCCTTGGCATAATCTTTCTTGGCATGATCTGATTCCTGAGTAAGAAATAACGAGAATAAAAACTTAAAATCTTCTCGAAAATCACTTTTTTTTCAAAGACCTTTCTCTTAAATACTAATAAAAAATTGATATGGGAGCTTTGAGGAAAATCAAGTTTCATTAGATATCTATGCATTAATGACCACAAGGATTACCAGATGAAAATCTCGATGGGGAAAGAGTAGACTTATCAAATAGTTGGACTCTTAAATGAGGGAAAACTATTCAAATAGGTATAATAATAGATTTATTTAAATGTCCAAGATTTTTGAGACCATTTAGATTGCCTCTTTAATGAATCGTCTATCAACTTGGATTTCTTTAGCAGGAGGGCAATGTAATCCTTAATATGGGAAAAGTTTAAGAGTATGCGTTTATGGTTAGGCAAGGAAATTGATAAATACCAAAAAGATTATTTCTTAGAAATAAGACATAATAGTTTGCAAAGGAGGTATGTTGAACATGAACTTCACAACCATAGCCAATTGCAATAGTTCTAATAACTTCAAAAATAAAACATTACTTGTCAATAGTGTATGTTTTATGTTGGAATAATTATAATGATACGAGTTGTTGATTGGAACAAAAAAATGTAGAGGGGAATTATCTACCCTAACTTAACCATGAACCACATTAATTAGTTAAGAAGCCTTAAATGATAGAAGTCACGGCAAGAAGTGGAGATGCCTCGAAGTGCAACTTGGTTATGAAAGAAGAGTTGTAGAAGAGAGATAGATGCCGTTGTAACAACTATATTTGAATAACATAAAATTTTCAAAATTTCTATAAATTAGACTATTAGAGAAGCGTTATATATGCTTTCAGGCATAGCGGCACTAAAAAGTGCTAGATAGTGGAACCTCGACATCATAAATCTCTATTCTATAGTAGCTTTGCAATCGCACCAGGCACAACGGAGCTGGGTCACTTAGGCACGCTGGTGCTAAAAACTAAAATGAGATTTTTTATATATATATTTCTCTCTCTCTCTCTCTCTCTCTCTCTCTCTCTCTCTCTCTCTCTCTCTCTTGGCTTGTTTGGTAAGGAAGGAAAGGAGGGGAGGAGAAGGAAAAGGAGGAAAAAGAATTAAGGTTTTTGTCCACCATTTTGTTTTGCTGCTTTTATGAAAATTGCTCAGATCATTGTACGTGACTTCTATATTATTTTTATTTTTAAAGACTTTGCTTTCGACTATTTAACTTTTCACACATTGATTTTATTATATATTTTTTTATTTAGTGAACTTCTACTGTATAACTTTTTGTATATCATTTTTTTTTTTGGTTAAAACCCACTAGATGGGGCCTACGTGTTGATATAAAATTCGGTTACAAGGTCCTTAAAAGGATCCACCAGCTCGCTACTGCTCGAAAGAGCTACAAGATTCAAAAACAAAATAAAACCTAAGAGCCAGTAGATCCTTATACTAAGGATACAAT